TGTTCCTGAAATACATTAAAATTAAGCATCTGAAGTACTTTTTAACAACATTTATAATCATAAAAGTTGCAGTAATTATTTTGTTAACTTGTGATATAAGAACAAATTGCACCAACATTACCTGATAATGCAGCTCAAGCCGCCTCATGATCTCTTTGGCAAGAGACAGTAGAGCATTGTATTTCGTGGTCATCTGTGTAACAGCATTGCTGATTCTTGTGTCTGCACAAGTCTCCAGCAACATTTGAGCTTTCATATTTAGACGGTCCAATTCTTTTTGCCAGTCAAATAAAGTTTGCAGATGAGCCTGTAAAAGGAAATAGATTAAACATAAATATTTCTCAAATCATTTCCAATATCAGATCTGCAATATACTCCAAATACAATAGTAATGTCTTATGCAAAAATTGTTATTGATTTGAAGCTGATTATTTGATAGTAGATGTCACGAATTTATATCTATGATTATGTTTTTGTTACAGTCATCAGGAATTACCTGGGAAAACTGCACAGACATGAATAATTTTAAAGCTTTTTTGATATCAAAAGCAGCATGTTTCAGAACAACAAGATCAACAAATGAATGTTAGGATATCAGTTACCTGGAATTGTTCCAGAACATTTTTCTTTTCTTCTAAACTGTCTTGAAGTTTGTTGAAAGTCTGTACCACTTGTTCAGTCTGGGTAAGCCAGTCAGAAGCTTCTTGGTACTGGTCTTCATACTCAGTCCATTTAACAATGCCAACTTCCAACAGACTTTTAGTTCGGTTGAGGGACTCACTGAACGGAAGAGAATAACAAACTTAAAATGTGATAAATATTTTACATTAATATAACAAATTAAACATTAGCTGCTGCCTTATCAATAATCAGCTATTACATCAGTAGAGTAAGTAACCAGAAACAAAATATAATGAGAGACCTAAGAAAATTATTCATATTTAAATGTTCAGCAAAGGCATAACCAAATTTTTCCAGTCATGCCATAACATCAAATTGTTGATATATTCCACCTCTTATTATTTTAATTTCTCTCGCCTCATTTCTGCATAAGCTTAATTTTTACCCCTCTTGCAACAGAAATGTTCCTTCTCAGACATATTCCAGAAATTTTTGTCATATGGTACAAATTTACATGAAAAGACAATTAATTAATAATCAAACATGATATTTTCTGTTAAATTGTTATTTTTCTTTTGTTTCCATGTTAAACAGCATCTATTTTTCAAGGCAATTTCACATTGGCTTGTATATATTCTCATCACTGGAAACATTTGCTGGTAAAAGCAGGTTTCTGTTTATGTTTGGTTTTAGACAAATTTTATTGTACAGGTTCTTAGTGACTTGCTCTAATTGTATTATAATCTTCTTCACCAGGATTTCTTTCGATATAACAACTTACATGAAAGTGTCATATTCTTCTTGTAATAAACCAACTTCTTCTTCAATTACTTCCTTATCCTCTGGATCTGCAACTTGGCAAGCAACATCTCCTTGTTCCAAAGCCTTTTCCAGTTTTTTCTGGCCCTCTTTCTGTTCACTTTCAAGTACCTGCACATCATGAAATTTATATAATTGACCTATTGCCAGATACACCAAATATAATTGTAAAGACAGGAATGGTAATCAGTTATTCAGTCTCCTCACCATTAAAAAAATAAGAGAAATTTATTAACATCTTCTTCATTGCATAAGGTTCATGTGCCTTAAAAATTACATCCTTAGGTTTATTTTATCTTGCAATTTACTAAGGAGATATCACAATGAGAAATTAATTCCAAATTAAGTTAAACAAAACTTCTTGGCACCACATTCAGACAAAAAAAAATCATATGACGCATGGTTAAATATGTTATTACTGTGATTTTTACTTACTGTCTGGCACCACATTCAGACAAAAAAAATCCTATGATGCATGGTTAAATAAGTTATTACTGTGATTTTTACTTACTGTCAACTGTGACACTTTACTACTGAGAGATTCCTTGTCACCAGTTGGCTCTGAACATTTGCTGAGTTTCTCCTTTGCAGCTCGGATCCACTGCATAAAGTCGTTACCAGCGTCTATGAATGCCTGATGCTGTTCCACTGTTTCCTTTTGTTTAGCATACAGTTCTTTGGCATGTTTACTCAGTGTTTCATATTTGCTGGATATCTCAGAAGCAGGCTGTGCTTGTAACAAATCCTCTGCTTTGGATGTTACTGACTGTATCATTGGCTCGAATGATACAATGTCTTGAACAATGCTGTTTGTTTGACGCAGCGTAGCCTTCCTCTCTCCAATACTCAGAGAGCTTAGACCTGCAGCTGGAACCTTTTTTGCTTTTGAGGCCTGCGGACAGATAATTCACAAAATTTCTGAAGAGTATACTACTAGGGTAGCTACTAAAACTATGCTAAAATCTACATTTAAATTAAGCAGAATGTAAATTATAAATCAGGCTAAATATCTGAACAGAATTCTAAACATTTTCCTACAAGTAATTCAATATATATCACTAACCTTTTGTTCACAAACTTGCTGTAACTTTGCCTCACGATCTGTGATCCACTGCTGGAGTTGTGAGTATGAAGAGCTGTAGTCAGCCCACTGTAGCAGGCTAGTTTCCAGATGAACCTTAGCAGTTGATATTTTCCTCACAATTCGATCCCAATCATTCTGGATTTCTTTCAACTGAGTATTAATAATGTCTCGCCCATCTGACCGAGTATTTCTAAGAACTTTCTCTCCACAGTTTACAGTCATATGGATCAAGTTCTGGCCTTCCTCCCTCTTCCGTAACAATTCCTATTCAAAATACAACGCAAAACTTTCTTAACACCACTGAAGCACATGAAACTGGCAACCAAAGGCTTAATATTTATGATTAGCAAAAGAAAGTGATCACAATGGAGAGTTATGAAAATAAAAGAATTCATTGGTTATTCAGATACCAATATACAAGTACCAGACCTATAAACATTGAAACATGGTTGGCAATTTCAATTCAAATTAAATTAAAAAAAATTTAAAACTAGGACAGGACTAAAATACAGTCTGGATCACAAACAAGGTAACATCATGCCATATTCAGTTGCAGTTGGCAACAAGTATTTCTATGTCACATAAATTCATTTTCAACATATTAACAATAACTTCAGACTATAGAGTGAAGTCTACATGAGTTCACACAATATTATTACTTCTGTTTAGAACTTTAGAAAGCACAAACGGATTAATCAATAACAAAAATACCCTTTTCAAATTAATATACAGTTTAAATAACATCAAGTCAAGAAACAAAAAAGTGATTCATGCTGACCTGAATCTGCTCTAAGCGAGCCTGCAGAACTTCCCGGCTGCTATTTGAAGAAGCTTCACTGCAGTCCCAGATTACTTGTTTTGCATTTTCAATCCAAGCCTTAGCTTTCTCATAGTTTTCACTGTATTGCTGATGTTGTTCCAAATTTGTCTCTACTTTTTTCAAGACATCTTTAGCCAAATTCACCTGTACCTGTAATAACATAAATATGTGTAAATTAAAAATAACATCTCAAAATTATAATCTTTAGAAATATTATGTTTAGCCATAAAGAACAAACCTGGTATCTGGAATTCAGATGTCTTAATTGATTGTTGACATAGGTGTCTAAATGTGAAGTGAGTAAAACTGATGCAGTTTTGTTGAATTTTTCTATCTGTTCCTGACCTTTCTCCAGTTTTTCCATAACATCCTGGAAAACACACAACAACCATTGTTCATAATATGAAATATATGCTTTTGAAAAACTATACTGCGAAGAGAGAATGTTATAATGCACATCCTACACACCACTTTTAATCCTTCACAATGTGAAAAGAATTTCAAAATAACAAACATTCAGTTCATCAACCTTTGGCTATACAATATTCTGTATTAAGCAAGACGTAATAATCTGTTCAATGAACCACAATTTTCTTTGTTGCAAGTAAACAATTCACAAGTGCTTTATTATA